AAAAATATAATATAATAATAACTATAATAAATTATCGAAAAATACAGACAATTTTGAAAATTTCTTTTCTAAAACAAACACGGCTTAATTTATTAAACATTAAGTTCAAAAAGTTTTATATGCCACGATCCTCAGACTTTTAGATGTTTTTTAGACGCCCCCCTCGCGTCGTTCGCCCTTTTTCGTGCGACACATCGCATGATGATTCTCTGTCGCTTTATCGAAATTGAATTCACCGGGGCTGCTATAAATACGCGACTCAAAATAATGCCTTGGACTACTCTCCGGCGGTGTAATGCGGCGTGCGATTCCTTGAGATCGTCCTTTTTTTTTTTTTCCTCTGTATATTATATATAATAGTAGTTTTGCTAGGTAACAAAATTTCTATTCCTGCTTTCAAAAAATATTTTATTATGCAAATATTTTTAAATTATACATATATATAAAATTTAAACCATTAAAAATATTTGCAATAAAATATTTTTTTAAAAGCAGAAAAAGAGAGAAATTTTATCACCTAGTAAAAATTTGTCAAGATGTATTTCGTTTAATTGTCTTCCGTACACACAAAGATAATGTCAAAAATTAATAAACGTCAAAAATATTCGATAAAAAAAATATCAACCGAAAAGAGTAAGATAACAATATTTCCAATATCACCAATGTTAAACATCGTTAGATATACTCGCACCATGTCCTTCGCCGAGGATACTTTTCGCGGCATTTCATCTCGTCTGTCGCAAAGATGACTTGTATTCGGATAATCTGCTCCTGCTCGACTAATTTGCTACACGTGGACGAAAGCCGCGCGTGCGATTCCTCCACTATTCTCCTCTCTTTTCACCCCCGTTCTATGCGTATATAAAATAGACACGCACACAGAGACACGCATATCATTACTTCGCCGCTTATACCTATATACACGCATACATCGCCACTGACATTTCTTTTGCTTTTCATATTCTCGTTTACCTCGAAATCGACAGAAGCTTCTTCGAGACGAGAGTACATTGTGCTCGGCCAACGCAAAGTCGGATAAAAAGAGCTTTGTGAAGAACGAGCGTGCCGGCATTATTGAAAAGGAATCGGCTCCTACACACTTCGCTATCGATAAAGCACACCGTAGGGACAAATTGGCAGTGGTGTTAAATTGTTCGGCTTAAATCTCGAAGAGACAATTCGTTTCGCATGATCGAGCACTGTCTCTCCCCGAAAACTTAAGTACGTCTTAAGCCCAAAATCCTTCAAAAATGCTACATAAAAAAGCATATTTTAAAATAAATTTTCGCTGTGCTGCTACTTTCGCAATTAAATAATTTTTTTATATATATTAACATATTGTAATCATTTTTTAATAAATTTTTATAATAATAATAATAATAATAATAATAATAATAAAATTTTCCTCTGCGGCCGCGCCGGTTTATCATCGCGCGAGCGGCGGCGGCGACGAGAGCGGCTCCCTTCGCCCTTTGTGCATCCCTTTCCGGTTCGTTTCCCACGAACCAATAAAATTCCTTTATGACGAGACACACACGCGTCGGCAACGTTATAATAAGCCGGGGAATCGGCCGCTAACGAAGTGCCTAAAGATAACAGATAATCGCGCGCGCGGTAATGACTGCCGGAGCAATTACAACAGGATCCCGAAAGCAAGCTTTTGTTATCCGCAAAATATTCCTGGAGAGAGAATATGCATTCTTTCAAAATCTTTCAATATCGCACGAAGCCGTATCTATTTAATCTCGTCGATTTTAAAACAAGTCTTCCTCAATTTCACTATGTGTCTAATCGAAATGACAAACCGCAATCTTAGGACACCCTGTATACTTGGCAAACAAATCAAACGATCATATTGTATCTCCTATCAAGGCACTTGAAGGTGTGTGAGATAATAGCTTACGCGGGTTTACGCATGAAATTATTTGTTTACTCACTTTATATACGATCACAGCTTACGCAAACCTCTTACGATGTAAAAAAGATCGCAATTGTATAATTTTTGTAAATTACGAATTACATGACTTTTATTCGCGATTAATAAATGACAACGGAACGCGATGTTCGGTTGGATATCTCGATAGGATACGATGTGTTACATCCGCGATTTTCTTGCGATCGTTAATTTATCGACGTGCCGATAACGTAATTAACAAGTTGTAAAGCACACGGGTTACTACATCGTAAATTAGACACGTTACATCATTTTCCTGACCGACACGCACACACTGCTTTTTGGCCACATTCTTGCTAATAACGAGACTATTCTTTCTAAATGCGTTTCGTACACTTCTTTTCTTTCGTCTTCACGTCTTTTTTCTCTCTCTATCTGTAAATATATGCTTATTTGAACATGGTTAAATATAGATATATGGATAAAGAGCATAACATTATTTTGGAAAAAATAATATGTACTGATAAATCTCGAGATAAAAAGATAGAAAGAGATAAAAAAATTGGTTTATTTAAAAAAATAAAACTTCTGAGTTTCGTTCTTTGAATATGTAAACCATAGTATCTATAATGCGTTTACAATATAACAATTCTTTAAATTTTGTTTTTAACAAAATATTTTTAATTTTGGTCTTTAATGTCACAGTTTATTAAATATTCAATAAATTAGTTTATTAAATAGTCGAATTTAATTGTTATTATATTTTAACAAATTTGAATTGTTACTATATTTTAACAAATTTTAATTTTTATCTTATTTTAACAAATTTGAAAGAAAGAAATAAAAGTTCAAGAAAGATTTAAATATTAAAAAAAAAAAACAATTAAAATAGTATTAAATTATAACAAAGAACAAGTATTAAAAATAACAAAGAATAAAACAAGCAAATTTTAATATAACGTCAACTGTAAAATTGTGATAAAAAAAAAAAAAATGTAATCTCTGAGACATTTTGCACGAATTAAACAGAATGTAAAGGACACGTAACTTTATACCCAAACAGCCCATATAAATATTGATGTCGAATTGCGTTATCGGCAAAATACTCGTGAAAAAAATATTATACCTTTGCAGTACGTGTCCAGTGAGTATTACGTCCGAAAAATCGACGATAACTTATATCAGGCGATTTTTACGTCACTTCATAATCGGTTTCGGATTTCGATATGACGCAGCAAAAAAAAAAAATCGGACAAAGAACCGGGAATAAAATATTACAATTTAAACACGTACGGTGTGATTGTATAAGCGTGTTCACGGATTAAAAGTCACTTTGACGAATTTGGTATTGAAAAACACTTCTTCAATTTATAGATCATCACATTAAACTTTAATGGCTGAAATTCTTCGATTCATTTGCGACCTCTTTCTCCCGCAACAAAAAATATTCGAAAATTATCGATGCTTCAATATATCTTTATTGACAAAATACAATTTTTTGCAATTTATCGATAAAAAAATCCTTTACAAAATTAGTATCAAATCAAGATATAAATTAGAATTGACATGTTAATATTAACCGAACATAGACTATTAATAAATAAATAAATAACTTTTTAAACTTCTTAACAAAAAGTTACCTGGAGCAATTTACGCGCTGAAATTCATGAAAAATAAATTGCTTACAATTTTTACAAGTATTATTAATAATTTGATGAAAATTTTATTATTTTAGTGATATTAAACACAATAAAATCAAAATATTAATAATTATTCAAAATTAGTTCATTATTCGTAATTTAATATCCTTATTTAATTTGTAAAAAGATACTATTTGCTCTAATTATTAATGTATTATATTTTGATAATAATTTAATAATAATCACGCATAATCTCAATAATAGCTTTAATTATTGAAAGATTAACA